GAGGAAAGAAGGAAAAAGAAAGAAAGAGAAATATAGAGATATGTATATTGTCATTACCAATTCAGTATTATAGAAAGACTTCTAGGTTTGGATAAGAGAGAACCAGAGAAAAAAAGAAAGGAAAAAAAGAAATGGTACTGAAAAGAAGCATAAAGCTGGAAGCTCCAAAAAGAAACCTTGCCCGGTTTGAAATTTTTTTGACCAAGTGCCCTTTGTGGATTTCTAACAGCCCCCAGCAATGCTGGCAGAGATGGCAAGTGTAAGCAACTGGTCACCCATCCCCTCTTCCATGAAATCTTCAGAGATCTCCAGGAAAACTGGGAGCGGGGCAGGTGGTGGAGGGAGCACCAAGACCTGAGGAAACCAGAAAGAGCTTTCTGCACTGAAGCAGAGCAAAGTGAGCAGAACCAGGAGGACAGTTCACACATTAACAAAAATATCACAATTAGTGAAAGTTGCTGTTTGAGGTAAAAGTTCCTAGGATTTTATTTTGAGTTGTCTGATGGGTCATAATCCATCGATAATCAATAATCCACCGTCTGCGAGAAAGGCCGCAAGCTACTCAGAGAAGGTGATACTGGTGGGAAGTCAGCATTGGGAAAAGCTGAGAGGACAATTTTAGCCTCTGTCTAACTGAGCCTCCTGGCTCAGTTTCCCCATTATCTTCTTTTGAAAGGGAATGTTACCCACCTGGCTATTCCTGAGTCTGGCTATGAGTAGATTCGATACTGCATGGTTGGAAAACTGAATTATCTGAATCCAAATAGAGCTAAGGATGTTTTATCCTCTCATTTGGGCCCTAAATCTAGTCCCTGTTTTATAGCTGGGCCCTGCAGTCTTTTCTGTCAGATTTGTGTCTTCCAGACTACAGGCCATTCGCCTACAGTTGGTAGCAAACAGCGAGTACCAGCCAATGTCCCCACATCGTTCCCTGGATGCAGCCTGTGCTCAGTTCCAGTCAACCTCCTCTTTGGGACTCCCTCGAGGCAGGGACAGCTCTACGCTCCTTGCCAGAAGGAGGCAGTTTCAGAAGCCAACACCTTTGCCCCTTACTCCAAAAGAATTTGGGTCCCATTTGTTTGAGGGGGGAATGAAGGGGTTGGGATCTAGACCCCAGAAAGGAAAAACCCTGGACTTTCCCACTTGGCCAAATCTCTGGCACTTGCCTGAGTGTAATCCCATTAACTGGCCTTTCATTGTGGCTACACTCAAATCTCCCAATTCTGTTACCTTTAACCTTGCCTGGCCTTCCTTTGTTTTACCTCCCTATGGCCACTTCCCACCCTTAATCCTATCTAGGATCCATTCTCCCTTGTCCAGGAGGTCCAGGTCCCAGGAGTTCTGTTCACCCCAGTTTACTGACCATTCCTAGGTCCCTCCCATGGTCTTTCTGTATATAAAGTCCCCGTGTCTCCATTAAGAGGCTTAGATTCTTATAACCTAGCCACTGCTTAGATTCTTAAAATCTAGCCAACAGCTTACTAATGTTCAGATTCCTTAAGAGTTTGCCCAATATGTTGGATGTTCTAATAAACCTTGTCTTTGGCTGGAAAAAAAAATATCACAGAGAAAAATAACTTTGAAAAACTTTAGTATTATGACTGATGCAATGATAACTTATGAGTCCACAAGATTGCAGATAAAACATGCCTCTTGCCTCCTGACAGGAGCTGATGAACTTAAAATGTAGACAGGGGCATGCACTTTGGGGCACAGTCTATGTGGAAATTTGTTTTGCTGGACTATGCATCTTTATGATGAGAGTTTTATTTTTCAGGCTTCTTCCCTGCCCCCCGCCCCCAATTGGAGGGGTCAATGAGAGGAACACATTATGAATGCATGAAAAATTAATAATCTTATTTTTAAAAAATAGTCCAAGCCCAGTGAACTATCTGGGCAGCTAAATAGTATAATGAATAGAACTCTGGGCCTAAATCAGGAAGACCTGAGTTCAAATTTGGCTTCAAAAACTTACTAGCTGTGTGACCCTGGGCAAGTTTGTAACCTCTGTTTGCCTCAGTTTCCTCATCTGTAAGATGGGGATCGTATTGGCACCTACTTCCCCGGGTTGTTGCGAGGATGAAATGACATAGTTGTAAAGTGCTTAGTACAGTGCCTGGCACATAGCAAGCACCATGTAAAAGTTTTGTTGTTGTCCACTCACTCCCTTGTGTCCAACTCTGTAACCCCATGGATGATACAGTCTGTGGGGTTTTCTTGGCAAAGATCCTGGAGTGGTCTGCCATTTCCTTCTCCAGTGGATTAAAGCAAACTGAGCTTAAGTGACTTGCTTAGGGTCACCCAGCTAGTAAGCATCTGAGGCCAGATTTGGGATTTGAACTCAGGTCTTCCTGATCCCAGGCCCAATGCTCTACCCACTGAGCCAGCTAGGTGCCCCTATAAAATGTTATCTATCATCATCATCATCATCACCACCACCACCACCACCACCACCACCACACCACCACCACCACCACCACCACCGCCTTCACCTCCACCATCGTCTCAGGCTCTGGGCTGCTTCCAGTGAGAGCAGGAATGTCCCTTAACCGACTGAAGTAGATTATAATGTATGGAGGACCCACAGTCCCACAACCACATGAGGAATTTTCTGCTGAGCAACTGCAAATATTAGCTGTGACTTTGGATAGAGTCTGGACAAGACTTGGTTTCGTCCCTTGGAGGTATCATTTGTCTTGTTCGGAAGCCTCGAAATCGCAGGCATGAACTTACAGACTAAAGTTTGTCTTAATTGCTCCTGTGTCACTGCCTCGCTGGCAGATAACAGCACAATGAATGAGTCGATGGGACTGATCCCTCTAGGTCCTTCTTCTAAAGTGAGACAAATTTCTCTCCTTTGAGCCAAACAGTTTACAGGCAGCTCTTTCATTTATTTATCCCCCTAACAGTTTGCATTAGCTTGCAATGGATAAAAAGTCTCACTGTCCTCAGACTTGATTAAAAAAAAAAGTCAGGCAAAGCAGAGGGATTTGCTTACTAGGAAAGAGGAGAGAGAATGGGAGAGGAATGAAGAGAGAAGAGCCTGGGAAGAAATCAGTGGAGAAAGGTGTAGAACCGGGGCAGGCCATGTGCTCTGGAGGCTGCAGGCCCCCCACCTCCGGTGTAGAATGTAAGCTCCCTGAGGTCAGGGACTATGAGATTCTTTTACCTATCTCCAGCACGTTGTTGTTATTGTTGTTATTGAATTGTGTCTGACTATTGAAGACCCTGTGGACCATATTGTCTAGGGGGTTTTCTTGGCAAGGATACTAGAGTGGTTTGCTATTTCCTTCTATAGCAGACTAAGGCAAACAGGTTATGTGACTTGCATACAGGTAATAGGTGTCTGAGGCTGAATTTGAACTCAGTTTTCCTGACTCCAAGCCCAGCCCTCTGTCCACTCTGGCCCCAACCTCCTGCTTCCTTCCTAGCAGGAAACAAAGTGTCCCTTGGAGAAGAATGGAAGGAGAAGAACTAGAGATGTCTATTTATCTCACTTTGAGCCACACAATAACACCCCCACACTACATGTTGGGGACAGTCCTTCCCAACCGTAGCAAACAGAAATGCCAGGATTCAATTCCAGGCCCTCTGATCCCAAACCCAAAGCTCTTTCTACCAACCAACACAAATACATTTAACCAATTCATTCTCAGAGCCAGAAGATGTACATGTGTATGTGTGTTTGTGAGTGTGTATGTGCGTGTGTGTGTGTGTGTGTGTGTGTGTGTTGTTGGTCTTTTCCTTCATCTCTGGGGCAGGAAGGAAAGGTGGAAGAAAAAGCACCAAGTTTGGCAGTCAAAAAAGATCTAGCTTGGAAAACCCCAACTTTTAGAAAGTGTAGTGAATGTAGAAGCTGGCTAACCTCTCTGAGCCTCAATTTCCTGCCTCATAAAATGGGGCTCATAACACTTGTGATACAAGGTTCTCAGAGTTGTAGGGAAAGAGCTTTGTGTTTAGACCCGACTTGTGTCAAAAGTGATCTTTCTAAAGCTTGGGTTGCCTTTCCCTCAACTCAATAAACTCCAGTGGTTTCCTCTCACCCCCAGGATCAAATATAAAATCCTCTGTTCAGTGTTCAAAGCTGTTGGTCAACTGCCTCCCCACCATGGCTTTCTAGTCTTGTTACACCTCAGGATTCCCTATCCAGGGATCCTGGCCTCCTTTGTCTTCCTCAAACATTATTCTCCATTCAGCTCCATTCAGCTCCTAACATTTTCTTTGACTGTCCCCCACTCCCCCTCCTCATCTCTACTTCCTGGCTTCTCTGACTTCCTCCAAGTCCCAGCTACCCCACCTTCTACATAAAGCCTCTCTTGTTCCCTCTTGATTCTAATGCCTTCCCTCTGTTGATTCTCTCCAAATTATTCTGGGCATTGCTTGTTTGTACAAATTTATTTGCATGTTGTCTCTGCCATTAGACTCCGAACTCCTTGAGAACAGGAGCTGTCTTTATTTAGTGCAGTACCTGGCACACAGTAGGTGCTTCATAAAAGTTTATTGACTGATTTTACTGATATAAAGAACTCCCAGAGAAGAGATTTCCTCTGCCAATGCAGATCAACACTTGCCTTGCAGCGTAGAGTTCCTTAGGGGGAACAATTTCTACAATAACAACATTACAGACTTGAGGACTGTGATCAAAGCAGTGCCCAATGACCATGATTCCAGAGGGTAATGCTACACGCCTCCCAGACAAAGAGGTGATGAACATAAGATGCAGAATGAGGCACGCATTTTCAGATATGGCAAATCCAAGAATTTGTTTTGATTAATTATGCATATTTGTTAACAAAGTTTTAGGGGTTTTTTCTTTCCAATTTGAGGGCTAAGGTGGGTAGATGGAAAAGGTTACCCAAAAAGGACAGTAATAAAAGAAAAAAGTGGCATTGAAGCATCTTTTTAAAGGCACAAGTGAGAACAGGAAGAAGGCCAGAAAGAACCACAAACAGCTTGGAAAGTTCGTGTTGAATTTATTATATATTTTAAAAGAAAAGCAGACTATATACATGAGATCCTCAGTTTCACATACAATCTCTTTTTCTTCTATACTATTGATATAAAAACGCCCATTTTCTTTGATGTTTCAATTCAAAACTTAAAAAAAAACTTTAAAAGACAGTTCCCTGAGGGGAATGGGAATGAGGGGTCATGACTCACCCAGGGTCATATAGTCAGTATATAAAAGAGGCAGGGTGTAAACCCAGATCTTTTTGACTCTAAGGACAATGTTATATCCTCAGCACACCACCCACTCTCTTAAAATCATACACTGCTACATAAATATGAGTGACTTACTGCTTAACTTGACTCCTTCTGGAAAAAGATCCCCAAGTCTAGCCTTCCCCAATTCCTCTCCCCACCTGCCTTCCCTTCCCCCACCTCTAGCACACACAGTCATATCTCCTCCCTTTAGCTGATCTCCATTCGGTCCCTTTACGTGACTAATATTCCTTCATCTTAAGAGAGTAAATGCTTGTGCTAAATGAGAACATAGCCTAGAGCAAAGATGTCTTCAAGTTTTCCATTTAACTTCATTTCTTTCAGTATTGGGGAAAGAAGGGAAAAAAAAAAGGCTGGCAATGAATAAGCTCCAGAATTCCACAGATTTCATCCAGTAGGCAGTGAGAGAGTTGCTATTGTAACATTAAAAGAACCATTGCTGGGCCTTAGGGGCTAGGGCACTGCACCCCCTCTTCCACTCCTTATGGGCCCTTTTGCACTAGTCCCAGGTATGCAGCCTGACCTAGCTCAGTTCTGATGGCACCCAGCCTCTAGTGATAGAGGGAGATCATCTCTGAATGCTTACATTCTTTGGCTTATTAACTCCCACCTTAGTGATCTGGCTACAAATTATTCAGAGCTTATATTTAGGTCTCATTTCTAGGTCTTCCCAAAGGAGGGAGTAAAAAGGGACTCAATTTACAGTGTGAAGCAGGTATGGGACAGGCATTTTATTCATCACACAGCAGAAACGCTAAATATAAAAAACTCACAATGTGAATTGTCAAAGTGACTTCAAACAGGCTTTGGTAACAACTTTTAACTGCTTGCAATCTGCTGAGAGACTGATATTTAAGTTCTATCAGAAAAGAAGGTAATTTGTAGGACCACTTACTAGACATTTTGCATTTCATTTCCACACCATCTCCCTCAAAGTCCATATCTGTCAAGCCAGGCCAGGCTTGGTCTCCTCCTCTTGTGGTCATCTTCTATGATGAAGAAAATTTCCTTGCTGCCAATTTTACCTAATGGATTCAGGACCTGCAGGACTTTTCAAGTCGCAAGATTACCTCCAAGCCTGGACACATCTACCTTGACATCCCCAGAATCCCTGGATGACCCTCATGGAACAATTCAACCTCTAGTATACTGTGTTATTTACAGAAACCCTCCCACTCCATTGAATCCATTGCTAGAATCATGTTTAGCCTCTAGCTGAGTTCTCCCATTTACGCCAGGCTTCCAGATCAACCTCAGCCTTACTAGCTTGGGGAAAAGGCCAGGGAAACTACTTTACAGGAATAAATAATCAGGACTCTAAAAACTGGAAAGTAGACTTTTGCACATAACAACCAGGCCACGGAAGAGGCAAATGGAGCTATATCTTTTGGGTATGAAATCTGAATAACTGGGTCTAGGCCAAATCTGGAGTAAAGTGAGAGGATGGGGAAGTGTAGATAGGATGGGATGATCGTACAGATGCCCAATAGAGTCAAGTGAGGCTCTTATCAATTTTTATGCACCTATCTATGTATGGTGTCTCTCCTTGGTAAAGTATAAGCTCCTCATGGTCAGGGACTGTTTCACTTTTGTTTCTTTATCTCCAGGCCCTGATACAGCGCCTGACACATAGTTCAAGGTCTGGAACATAGGAAACACTTCATAAATCCTTGTTGATTGCTTGATCGATCGACCTGAAATGGAGATACAGAAATACAGCTGTTTCATTCCTCACACACACACCATGACTAAGAAGAGGCAGGACTTCTCCCCACTCTCACCTACATGTCCTGCTGCCCAAATCAGAATGCCCCAAGTTTGTAATTTTTCCCTGCAAGGCTCCCCTAAATGTTCACTTTTAGTTTATTTTCTAGTTATTAAAATTTGTGTTCACATCTTTTGTTTTTATACCTCATTTATTTCCAGATTGATCTTTCTCCTTCCCCTTAGCCAGCAAGTTGCTTGATGTTTACTTTAGCCTTATTTTGCTTGTAAACAGAATGTTGGACAAGCTCGTGATGGGAAAAAAAGACCAGTTCCTAATTGTGTGTACATATTATCTATATTAGTATTTCATTTTGAAATTATTTGAGTTACTTCAATAAAATGATCTGTCATCTCCTTTATGTGGCTACTCCCTCCAGCGGTGCTGGTGGTAACTGATGCATGTCCCCACATCCATGTCCTGTAAATCATTGGATAGTCAATTCAGAATTGGACTGGACTTTAGAGACCATCCATCCAGTCTAAGACCCTCATTTTACTGAGAAGGAAGCTGAGGCCCAGCGAGACGAAACAATTTGCCCAAGGTCATAAGTAATAAATTGTAGAACTGGGATTTGAATCCAAGTCTTCTGACTCCAAATCCTACCTGCTTTCCACTGCACCACAAATCCTCCAAAGAAGGTCCACCCAAAATGCTGGGGAACTTCCTCTAGTTCCCTTGATAATTGGGTGGACAGCAATGACTGAGCTATCTGAGATCCTTCACTCTTATCATGCACCCAACCTGCCACCTTCTTTTATGGTCAAAGCTCTTTCTGAGGACTATAAAACTGTAAGGTACTATTCTAGAAAGGTACCTGGCCTTAGACACTTACTAACTGTGTGACCCTGGGCAAGTTGCTTAACTCTGCCTCAGTTTCCTCATCTCTAAAATGAGCTGGAGAAGGAAATGGAAAAGCACTCCAATACCTTTGCCAATAAAACCTGAAACGGGTCATGAAGAATCAGACATAACTGAAATAAATAAACAACCATTCCCTATGTGCATTTGAACCAGGAGTCCTCAATATGAGAATGTGGGGAAGTAGTAGGACTGACAAGTCTGGTCAGTAAAGGTACACTTTGGACCCGTGGAGTAAAAAGTCTCTTGTACCACTATCCCCCTCCTTGTGCCAGGTAGAACTAGAAAAGCAGGAAGTCCATTTGGGGCACGGGCAGGAGGGAGAACAGGAATGAGCCACATGAAGGGATCCAGGCCATTGGCCACATAGGGAAGCCCAACAGCCTAGATGCTAGCTAAAAAGTGAAATGAAGAAGCCCAGCTTCATCTAAGGGTTGGCCAAATGTAAATGCACCAAGGCACTAGCTAGGTCAGTGACGAGACAATAATAACTGGCGTTGCCCTCCCTTTTGTCAAGGGATAGTGCACTATGGAGGAATGGAACATTTTTGTATATTGGCAGAATCCTGAATGTGTTGGTTAATTTTGTTAGTTTCTATATTCTCTCTTCTCTCTCCTCTCTTCTGTTCTCTTCTCTTCTTTTCTGTTCTGTTCTGTTCTCTTCCCTTCTCTCTCTCTCTCTCTCTCTCTCTCTCTCTCTCTCTCTCTCTCTTTCTCTCTTTCTCTCTCTCATCTTTGTTACAAGAGATGGCTCTCTGAGAAGGGAAAGATATATTTGAAAATTAAGGAGGAGGAAAAACAAAAGCTATCAACAGAAATGTAAAAAATAACTGGCATTTTTATAGTTGCTTTATATTACATATATACATAATTTCTACATCTTTATATAGTAGCAAAGAACTAGAAACAAGGTGGATATCCATCAACTAGAGAACGGTTGAACAAATTGTAGACATTCATGTAATGGAATATCACTGTACTGTAAGAAACGATGAGGAAGAATTTAGAGAGGCATGGGAAGATATATCAACTGATGGAAAGTCAAGGAAGAGCCAGGAAAACAATGACTACAACAACGTGAATGGAAAGGACAACAACAGAATAATGGAAACAATTCTGTAAAGTTCCAATGACCACACTTGGCCTCAAGAAAGAGATATGAGAAGGTACCTTCAGCTCCTTCTTTGCAGGGGGATTAAGGAGATGGAACACGGTATACACCATCAGACTTGATTGATAGCCATCTTATTTTTTTTCCTTTTCTTATTTAAATCTGTTATAAGGCATCAGTTTCCAGGTTGGGGAAGGGGAAATGAAGATGATGTAAAAGCAAAATGCATTAATAAATTAATAAAGTGCTTTGCATCTTATGTCATTGGCACCTTGAGGCAACCTGGTGAACTGGGTATAATAGGTATCATTGCCCCCATCTTACAGGTGGAGAAACTGTTGCTGAGAGGCTAAATAACTTGCTCACATAGCTAATTAAGTATGAGAGGAAGGATTCAAAGCCAAAATTTTATTCATCTTGCTATGCTGTTGAGACAAAGTTTGAAAATAGGAGCATGATTGCTGCTTGGAAGTTGTGCCAACCTTCTATAGCTAGCTTGTAGATATCGTCGATTAAGGTTTCCACGATCTGTCTCTTCTCTCTTGTATGAAAACATCTGGGTTTATATCCAGATCTCCCTCCACCAACACAGGCTGAGATTTCTCCACACCTTGATAGTCAGCTTTTAGAAGTAGCTATAGCAGAAAAAAAAAAAGTAACATCTCATGGCCTCTCAGATCTTAGCTAGATTGGCCCTTGGAGGAAAGTCTTTTACTAGCCAATACATTTTTTTTCTTTTTTTAAAGTATTAATTAATTTATTTTTAGTTTTAACATTCACTTCCATAAGATTTTGAGTTCCAAATTTTCTCCCCTTCCCTCCCCACCCTCTACCCCAAATGTGTGCAATCTGATATAAAGCCAATTCACTTTCAACTTGATAGGCCTGTCACTGCCACTTACTATCTGTGTTACTTTGGGCAAGTCATTTAACCTCCAAAAGCCTCTGTTCTCCTCATTTGTAAAATAAAAAAATTGGACTAAAGCATCTCTGAGGGCCCTTCCAACTCTAAATCTATGATTTATAATCCTTTGGCCAATCAGAACTCAGATTCTGCTGTCAAATCCTTCAGGAACCTTCTCAACATCAGAGTAGGACTTTATAATGGCATTTCTGTGTTATGTTGTTTCTTTAATGTTTACTTCCCTCCCCCTCTGAATTGTCAGAGTAGGTCTTTTTGGGAAAACTCAGTCTTTGAACTAAGGAGTAAGGCAGGTTATGAGCTCATGCCTAAACTAGAAGGTTATGGGAGAGATCAAGGATCCTAACTAGAACTAGTAGCAGCAATAAAGGGAGAAAATGGACAATCGTCTCAGCAGTTCTCAGGCCTATTGGAGAGAATGAAAAACTTAAGTCAGTAAGCAAGGCTTTGAGGGGGAAGGTACTGCCCTCTCATTCCAATTCAGTCCAATCCAATAAGCACTTATTCTGTGTGGGGGGGGTTTTAACAAGGATATTCCCTGCCCTCAAGGAGCTTATATTCATGTCTGGATGACAGAGTACCAGGCATTTTAGCCTAGGATGATTCACCTTGGTTATAACTTCCCTTGGGATGCCCTTGAGAGACAGGAGATACCCTAAGTCTTCTTTTGTCCTGCCTGAAAGGGCATAAAACTTGCCAAATTGTCCTTTTTCTGCTATTATTCCTTTTTCCATCTTCTTCTTCCCTTCCCCACCCCAACTCAAACTTCAAAATAAAAATATGGCTAAAATATTAGGCTTCCTAGAAGGCAAAATCCAAACCTCCCTGAAGACAGCCAATTTGTAGCAGGGGTGGTTTCCTTTAGGTTCCTTGATTTTCTATCAGTTGATAGAGCTTCCCATGTCTTCTCCAGTGGCTGTCCATGACCCACCAAGTAAAGTCTTGAATCCTCAAGGCCATGGTACGTAACTTTGCTCTAGCTTTTCCAGCCTTGGAGCCTCACGCCAATCAGGCTGATCTCTTTCCATCCCATGTGCTGGACTTGTGAATTCCCAAGTGTATTCCTGTGCATATCCCTACCATTTCCCTACCACCACCACCACCACCACCACCCTCAGCCTGGATTTTCTTCACTGCCTAGGCAAAATCTACCCTTCCAACAAGGTCCAGTTCAAGGCACACCTCCTCCATCAACTGTTCTCTCACCATCTTAGCCTGATGTGGGATCTCTTCTCTTTGAATCCCTAGAGGTCTGTATCTGTGTCATTTGTGCGGCATTTAACACACTTGGGGTGCTGTTTAATGTTTTGTATTTAAATCTTGACTCTGCTACCTGACTGCAAACTTCAACAGGCCAGAGCCTGCATTCAATCAACCAATCAACAAGCATTTATTAAGCACCTACTATGTTACAGGCACTGGAGATACAAGTACAAACAATGTATCAATTCCTACTCACAAATAGTTTATATGCTAATGAGGGTACAAAGACACATCGGAATATTTACATCATATATATGTATATGTCCATATTACATATACGCATATATACATATGTGTGTGTATATATATCTCAAATGCAAATAAGTACAAGGTAGTTTTGGAGCTACAGCATTAGCAGTTAGAGGATCAGAAAAGGCCTCATGTAAAAGGAGACCCTTGAACTCCATCCTGAAGGAAGAGAAGTATTCTATGAAATAAAAATGGAGAGGTGAATGCAATTCAAGGCATGGGGTACAGCCAGTGCAAAGACATGGAAACAGGAGATGGCATATGAGGAACAGAGAGAAGGTTAGTCTGTCAGATTGAGTATAGGAAGAGGAATGACGTTCATTTTTGCTGAAGGGATAGGTTGGGATCAGGTTGTGAAGAGCTTTAGGAACTAAACAGAGAAGTTTAAATTTTATCCTAGAAACAATAGGAGCTGATGGATTAGGGGAATGAAATGATTAGATCTACACTTACGGAAAATCACTTTGGCAGCAATGTGTAGGTTGGACTAGAGTGGAGAGACATTTGAGGCAAGGAGACCAATTAGAAGGCTATTATAAGAATCTAGGAAGCAAGAAAGGGAGGGAGGGAAGGGAGGAGGGAAAGAAAGAAGGGAGGAAGGAAATAAGGAAGGAAGGAAGGAGGGAGGGAGAAAAGAAAGGAGGAAGGAAAGGAAGAGGGAGAGAGAGAAGGAGGAAAGAATGTTTCACAGGTACACATTTTGCACAGGTGAAGCTGCCTCCTAAAGATTTCTAAAGACCTAGAGAATTAGAACTTCTAAGCCAAGATGTGAGTATAGACGATCTGGGCTACTTTCTGCAGGTCCCCACCCCCTTTCAGCTGTGGTCTGGAGGTTGTCTCCTCAAGGCTATAAATATTCAGAGTCCTTTGGTTCTTCGGCTAATTGGAGTCAGAGAAAGCAGAGATAACTGAAATCCTGTGGGAATTCCCAAACCACCCCTTTACCAACCACAGTTTCACACTTTCTAAACTAAATGTTTTCCCCCAGAGCTGTTTCTTAGGTAGTCAACCAAACACCTTGAATCAACCCTCTTCTCTCAGTTCTGGAACAAATAGTTTTTGATGAGGAACAGAATAACCACAAGGTTAGGGGGAGAGGGTGGAGAAATGCAGGAACGAACCGATGCTGGAATGTCGTTGTACTGTTGGCAGTAAAGGGAGCTGATAAGCAGGCTGAAGCTCCAAGAAGAAATGTATTTTACTATGGGCCCTCAGCCTGGTCAAGGAGATCTCTGCAAAAACTCTCCACTCCTGGCCTCCACCAGCTGCTGCCTTATTCCTCTAGTATGAAGCATGCCTGAACTTTAGTCTCGAAATTAATCTCTGCTCATTTGAATGCTGCTTTGCATCTCATTTGCATGTTTCTCTGAATGTCAAATATAACTGCTACAAAGCCTCATCCTCAAACCTTGTTCCACACCTTATCTCCTGGAGCACTGGTTCCCACAGCAAGTTCGCTCTCTACCTTCCCTGGGCCCTAAGGCTCAAATAAGAAAAAAGGGAATAAAGTGAAGGAGAATAATGAATCCCTTTGTAGGATTGGGGGCCATGAGGGAAATCCAAATTCCAAGGTCCATTGGTCTCTCTTGGACATTTACTTGTACTTTGGGAGTGTGGGTGGTTGAAGTGGGAGAGCCAGGCACAGAAGCTTCTTCTTCTCTCGCCTCAAAATTCAGGTCCCAGTCCAGGATAGGAGTGGGAGCGAGAGTTCCACAACTCAAAACTTTCCTCGCCTAACCCCAGCACCTCTGCATCATTCGCCCTTCCCCGAGACTCTCACACCTCCATCCTCTGTTTCCAGATGAAGGTCCAGTCGTTTTCAGTGCGCTGCGTTCCAGGCAGTCAGCACCATCGGCGTGCAGAGGGGGCAGCTCTGGAGATTTCCGCTCTCCTTCTTCTCCCCAGCCGCGGCGTATCCTCGCCCTTGCCTCAGCCCAGGCTGCCCACGCTCCAGATTTCCGTCTATCCAGGCCGGCGGATTAATATCCAGATATTAAGTAAACAATAAATTAGCAAAACTACAAGAAAATTTTACAGCCCTTTGCATTTGGCAATCATTGAGTGTTAATTAGAAATTCATTACAATTAAAACCCTGCCTAAACAGAGCCTACACGCCTTAATTACATCTGATTTTTAATTCAGAATACGTGTTTACACAGTAAGCGATACGTACCCCATGATTATCCCCAATACTCTTTATACTGTACTAATTATGTAAATTAAACCTAATTAACTGACGAAAACTGCCGTTAATTCAACTGTTAAAAGATATGTGCTTGCGGAAGGAGGCGAGCTCTCCAAACCCGAGCCAAAAGTGGGGGCGCGGGCTGGGGAGACTCCGGGGCGCAGATAACCTGAGCGTAGGGCATGGTGTGGACGTGGCGCCTGAGGGAAGCCGTTCGAACTGGAGAGGTGCGGGGGGCATGGGAAAGAGAAACGGGAGCAACGACAAGGTGCAAAGAGAATGAGTAAGACTCGATGAAAAAGGAGAGCACAAGCCCCGTAAACTGAAAATTGAGGAAAGGAGCCGCGGAAGTGCCGAGCCCGAGGAGAGCTGGGAGCCTCGAGGACTCGAAATATCGGAAGACAGGGACCTCGTCGTGAACTCAGAAAATGCCGAAAGCTGGGACAGAACTAGCACCAGAACTGGGGCTCTATCTCCCACGAGCCCTGGCACTAGACACAGAGACGGGGGAAACCTAAATTCAGTCCTCTCTCTTCTTTGCGGTCCAGGGCCGAGAAAGGAAGAACTAGCAGTCTGGTGAAGTGGGGGGGAAGGGGACTAAGAGAACTGATTTGTCCATCTCCTTCGCTATGGAAAGGATCCTTGGACAGTCCCCAGACTAGAGGGTCGGGTCACTGCTTTCCCCTCTTATTACAAATAAGGCCGCCACATTGGAACGGCTGGCATAGAGCCGTGACCTTGATTTAGGTGTCCCCAGGACCTAAGGTCTTGTTCCCACCTCCAAAACGTTAACTATCTTCTCTCCTCCTTCCTGGCCTATGATTCTTGCTGAAGATTTTCTCTGGATAAAATTCTTATGAGAACAGAAGTCACTACCCTTCCCAAACTTTGAGGGCCCTGGAGTGAAGCTTGCTTTTGGATTTCGGCAAATCTAACCGGAAACTTCAAAGGAGCTGGAACTGTCTGATCACGCTGAGTTCTGAATTTATCTTGCCTCCACCCCGCCCCCACGTTTCCTCTCAGTCCTGGGCGGTGCAATTCTGCTGCCCCCTCTTCTACCCTGAAGCTTGGTCCGAGGGTCATTTGAGCTAGCCCAGGATATTCGCTTCCAGAGCCAAAGTCTGACTCAGAGGGAGATCCCAGGTGTCCGTCAAGCGGATCCTGGACTGCAGAGAGCTCCCTCTACAGAGGGGGCCAGTCACAAGCCTTTCTTTCATCCTGGCTCAACTCTTGTGTAATCTAGTCACCAAACTGGACCAGACAACTTAGGCAATGTTTGTACAGTGATTACTCCACAGCTAGCACAGTGTAATTGCGCATGTGGTTAATGCCCTGCAGGATGGGCTGCGGTGTGGATGGAGGAGACACAAGACGAGGTTCGGCAAGGACTAGCTGACCACCCTCCCCTCTCTCCTGCCTCCCGGGCCTATCCTGGCTCCACAGTCCTTGTCACAATGATGGGGGATTCTGAAGTCTCTTTAAAAAATCATTAAAAGGCGAAGAATAATTACCGACTGGGATTGTAATTATGGGGTGGGGGAGCCCAGGCTGAGCGAGGAGGGAAAAGCAGGGGGGTGGGTAACTGAGCTAGGGGACGGATTCAACAATGATACCGAAAATGGGTTACTATGTCCCAGAGAGGGGCGGGGAGAAAGGGGATAGAATGGAGAGAATGAGACAAAATCAGAGAGCGACTGAGACCAAATTATCTAGAGATATAGAAACTGAGGGAAAAGAACAGGTGAACCCAGAGAGATAAAAAAGAGATTGAGAGAAGGAAAGAAACTCTGGTTTGTAATTACAATAGAAATGTAAGAGATGGAGATACAAGAAACGGGGGGGAGACAACGGGGGGGCACGTGTAGAGAAAAACATAGGTTTATAAGGAAATTGAAAATCAGATACTGAAGGACAAAGAGAGGAACTGAATTGGGTTTGCTGAAAATTACTTTCCTATGGGAAAGTTCCATGTCTTTCAGTGAATGAATTTAAGGGTGGAAAAGTGGGTAAAGCAAACAAACAAACAAAAGGAAACAAACGAACAAATACACCCTAAGGCCATCTTCTGGCCTCCCAGGGAGAGTCGAACATTACTTGTTCTTTCCTCACTCCAAGGCTCCCTTCTCCCCTCCCAAGGAGAATATCTGATCCCAGAGCTCTCTATTTAACGCAGGGAAAGAATAAAGAAAAAGGAGAGACTGGACAAGGGGAAAGGAAGAGATAGAGAAGACAGAAAAGGAAAGAGAGAAGTAAAAGAAAGAAAGGGAGAGAAGAGGAAAGGGCAAAGAAGAGAAGAAATAAGGGGTAAAGGAAAATAGGAAAAAGAAAAAGAAGTGAAAAGAGAAAGGGAATGAAAAGATAGAAGAGGGTAGGGAAAGGGGAAAGAGGGTGAGTAAAAGGAGAATGGAGAGAAGGGGGAAAAGGAAAAAGAACGAGGGAGAGCAAAGAGGCAAAGAGGATGAGGAGCCTAAGAGAAAGAGAGAACAGATAAAGAGGGGGATGACCTGGGAGCTGTTGGTAGGAGAAGATTTATAGCACTAAATCTGTTTCCAAGGACAAACTCCACTTAATAACACATTACGTGGTAGGCTCTACAGCGCGTGTGGAGCAGGAGCAGGCCGCCAGTGCTGAGGGTTCCTGCAGCCCGCGGAGGCAGAGGCTCGGAAGTCAGAGCCCTCGGGCCATCCCCGGCCGTTATTAACTTCTGTTTGATTAGGGTAATTGTTCAAACTTGAGCTGGACAGTATGATTAATTACAGTTTAATTAACGTGTCCATTAAGAGCATTTAATGCCACGAAGCGTTGTGGGGGGAAGGGAAAGAAGGATTGGAGGTGGGGGCAGTGAAGAAGAGAGGAGCCTTTTTTACCTTCTACACACAGGCTCGCTGACTTGTAATTTAAACAGGAGAAAAAAAGATTGGAAGGAACATTGAGTAGAGAGGAAGAGGAAAAACAATTAACTGAGGGCGGAAAAGATATGGAGAGGGAGAAATTGAGTTAAAGAGAATGAAAAAGAGGAGGGAGAAAAAGAGAGAGAGAGAGAGAGAGAGAGAGAGAGAGAGAGAGAGAGAGAGAGAGAGAGAGAGAGAGAGAGAGAGAGAGAGGCGAGGAGCTTGACCTCCAGCTCCCCCTGCCTGGCTCTGCTGGCGTCCTCTGACTTGCCCTAACAGGACTCAGGGCCGGGACCTAAAAGCCCTAGGAAGGCAGCCGTGGCCTTGGTAGGAACCCCGTTCCCTAAGCAGAGAGACCTCACTCAGGCCTATAATCGCCCCCCCCCCCGTGCACACATATTCTACTCTGCAAACGCAGTAAGGGCCTGGTTCCTGGGTGCCTCTCATCGATCTGCCTACGCAGCATTTGAGAAGGGGTGGCTTCTCCCACCATTTTAGGGCCAGAAAGAATGACCCGGCTATGTCTGACCATGGCTGCCAAACGCCCAGCGCCCCACACCGCCCTCAACTCCGCAAGCCCCAAACCTCACGCCTCCAAGTATACTGTCACACCGCACCTTCCCCCCAATTCCAACCCCTCCTGCCCCCCCTCCACTTCCCACCACCCTCGCCCTGGCTTGGCTTTGGTGGCGCCTCGGTTTTCCATCCCGCATCGACCAGTCTTCCTCCCCCGCCGGCCTGGGGCAGTTTGCGGTGCTACATAAATAAGACATTCGGTGATTTCTCCCGCCATCGACCCGCCCGCGGTCTGGGGCCTCAGTGGACAGGGCCAAGGGAGGAGGGGTAACAAGAGACTCGGAGTGAACCAGTGAAGGAGCAGAGGCCAACCTGGGGGGCCGCGGGCACTGCTCACCCCACCTTGCCATCTCCACCGCCTCTTCCAGCCACCTCCCCTCTTTTTCCTTCCTCGCCACCCTTTGCTACCTTCTCCCCTCCCTTCCCCAGCCCACCGGCCCCCCAAACCTGAAGATCTCCGAAACGAAGCTGCTACCTTTGTCGGCCCACTTCTGTACCAGCCCCGAGCGTGGGGCTGAATTCGGTCTTGGGCCCCCTACAGACAAACTTTCCAAGCTGCCTGTAGCAAGTGGCACGGAGCTTTTGGGGGTAGGATCCCTACCGCGCCCTCAGCATCTCATGGGCCCAAGGGGGTTGGCACGACTGGGACTACAATAACCGAGAGGTTAGCTGGGGGCCCTTGGCAACTCCCTCAGCTCATCCCGGTCCGCGGCCCGCCAGCGGCTTCTTGCTCTCCTCCCTTTCCAAGACCTATATTTCTGCCCCTTTCCTACTCCCACCCAAGCACTGCCAGACCTCAGGGTAGCCGAAGCTCCAGGTCCTGCCCGCCCGCCCAGTGCTCTTTCCTTGCACGCCGACCTTAACCCTCAACCCTCCCCCCCCCCCGCGCCATCCCTTCCTCCCCTTCCTCTCTTTACACCTCCCCTTTTCTCCTCCCCGCCCCCAGCCCTCCCCTTCTCCCGGGCGCGGCGCCGCCCGCCCGGCCGCAGGTGCAGAGCTGGGCGCAGGTGTCTCGGGGCCGGCAGCTTACCTTGCACTCTGCCCGGGGCACCCCTTGTCTTGTCCCCCGCCCCCCTTCCCTCGCCCTCCTTGTCCGGGAGCCCTGGGTCAGCCACCCCCAGGCCGAGGCTGCTCGCTGAGTGACTGGCGGGCTGGGGTCTGATTGACGCGCGCCGGGCCCCTAAGAAGTGCGGCCCCTGCCGAGGTGCGCCCGCTAAGTGGGTGTGCCCGCCTATTATTTCAGCTGTCGGCGGATCGATGCGCGGCGCCTACGACTCGGGCGCCGCTGCTGCCGCAGCCCCTGGACCGGCCATGTGGTCACTTCTCTTGTTGCGTCTCGGGCCGGGAGGACAGCGGCGCAGGACACGCACTCGAGCTCTCCCGTGAAGAGGACTCCAAGACAACTAACTCCCCCAGGCTCGCGGCTGGGCCAGCTCCCGGGACTTAGGGCAGCCGCAGGGGGAAGGGGGGAGTGACAGGGGGGAGGGCTGAAGGGTGTGTGCGAGTGTGAATGTGTGTGTGTGTGTGTGTGTGTGTGTGCCCGCGCAAACGTGGGCCCGCACCGTAACCCAGAGAGCTGGGTGCGATTTCTGACTCCCGCCGGTTCAGTCACCCAAAGACAGTGACCCTGCACTCCAGGGTCCAGCTACCGCCTCTCGGTGAGTACCGGCGATGGGTCCAGTCCGGAGCCCCTTGCCCTTTTGGTCGTCTCTTTTTTCGTTTCGTTCTTGTTTTTAATATATTATGCAAAACCAAACCCTAACAGTTCACCCAGCCTCCAAGTTCCCAGGCTAAAGGGTATCTCCACTCCTTCCTCTTTTACCCCCCCTCCCCCCGCTCCCGGCTCCCCGCCCCCTGCCGCTTACCCTCCAGCCAGGAGGCGGAGAAGCAGCTTTACCAAACCCGCCTGGGGCCACTGCACAATCCCACTCAGCCAGCCTTCTTTCCCTTTTCTCACTGCCGGCCTTCAGGGCTTTCCTTTCCTTAACCCGCCTCCCTTCTGGAGTAGACCCCCTGATTCAGGATCCCGTCTCTGAAATCCGATTCGTTTCCTGGGGCTCCCTTTCTCCTTCCGTTCCTGTTCCCGGCCTGACCGGAGCTAGGTCCAAGGCTGAAGACTGGGAATGCGTTCTCCCCTTTGGTCTCTAAGACAATTCAGTGTTTCCAAGACCCTACTCCCCGATTCCCATCTGTCTACCCCTTTGCACGGTACCATGGACCGGCTTTTGGGCAAATTGAGATTCAGGCAGGAAACTGGCCTCCAGGGGCTCCATGACAGACTTTTCACTAGATGCGGGCCAGTTGACCCTCACATTTTCGGAAACCGGTGCGAGATTGTGTAATTACTTTAAAAGCTACTCAGCCTCTCCAATCCCTCCTACATAAGCTCATTTACTAGGTTTAGGAATCCTTCTGCTAGGTCCCTGTGTTTGGAGTTGTTTGCTTCCTTGCTTCTTTCTTAGGCTGACGTGAAGGTTTCACAGGGGCATGCAACTTTTAGGTATGGTCAACTTGTTTCAAGCCAATTTTCAGAGACCAATGGGAGGAAAATGTGCAGAGATAATAACTACACCTCACCCCATGTTTCCTTAAAAAGACAACTTGGGTCGATGGGGTTGCGTTTTTTAAATTAATTTGTCATCTTGGTCATTTGGAAGTTCTGGGGTGGGGAAGGTTGATTTTCCTGGACACAAGACAAATTGGAGCCCTGACCGGGCCAGATCTGCGTTTGCTGTGATTAAGGACAAGTGAAGAGCCGGTGGGCGACCAGGGTTCCTCCAAAGCTAAGGAACCAGAAATTTAAAATAATCTTTCGTGTCAAATGCCGGCTAAATTCTGGCAACCGGAGCAGCCGGGTTTTAAGTTGAAGAGAAAGAGCTATCCTCCAGATCAAAAATACCTTGAGCTTCTCAAAGATTTTAGGAAGCTGCTGAGGCTCTAAATTTGGAACCCTGAACACATTTGGAAAAATAAATAATGAAGGAATAAAGGAGGGGACAGACAACCTGAAATTAAAGGAGGGAAAAGTACAAATCCTGCACTCTGGGCAAGGTGGGGAACCAGTATTTGATGAATGAAAAATCAGGGATTTTTCGGTTGGAACAAAAAGAGAAGCAAGACCTGAGAAACTTCTACGAGAAACCCAGGATGGCCCAGCTCTGAAATTAGTATTTGTCAGGGAAATGGCTAAAATATAACTATTATGGCCATGGCTAAATATTTCCCACCGATACTTAAAAAGAAAACCATTTAATTTTCCTGTCTTTAATCTTTCTGCCAAAAGGAGCTTAGGGCGACTCGGAAAGGAACTGGTTTGTTTACACTAGAGCTCTAGTCCTCTCTTCTCCCCACATCCACCCCCATCCTGAACGAGGCCGAAGGTGAGGAGTTTTGGCGATTCGGGTCGTGCTCTTAAGACTCAAACTACCCTAAATAGCTTTTGGAGAGGGGCTCAGAACCCCGGACAGCAGACCCTGTCCAGTACTGCCCGCCTCCAGTCCAGATAGTCTGATAATGGACATTGACAGCCCTCCAACCACCATGTGTCGGGAGCTCCCCTCTTAAGGATCTCTCTGCTCATGTCCCCACCCACCCACACCCTGTGTGGCCACCGGGTTGGACAGAGGGAGAGGAGAACAGATTGTGAATGTCCTTGATTCAGGACCAGGGAAGCTGGGCAACTTTAGGGTAAATATCTCCTCCTCCTTCTCCTCTTCCTTCTCTTTTTCCTCTTCCTCCTCCTCCAACCCTGATGGCTTTTGTCTTAGCGCCAGCACTTGTATTAATAACAAAAGGAAACTTATTACAGGGGGGTGACTTCTGTTGTGAATAACAAATGCGAAGCCCCCCACGCAGGCAGCAGCTCCCTGCGCCCAGCTGGGCGGGACTGAGCAGCGGCGCTGAAAATGGCTCATCTCCTCTCTGATTTTTCTTTTGCAGAAGTGGCGGCATGGAGGCTCTCGCCAGTCAGATGGGGAATGGGCGCGAAGGAAGCTCCTCCCCAAACTCCAAGCAGGAGCTGCAGCCGTACTCCGGCTCCAATACCCTCAAACCCAACCAGGTCGGCGAGACGTCCCTATACGGGGTCCCCATCGTCTCCCTGGTCATCGACGGCCAGGAGCGCCTGTGCCTGGCGCAGATCTCGAACACGCTGCTGAAGAACTACAGCTACAATGAGATCCACAACCGGCGGGTGGCCCTGGGCATCACGTGCGTGCAGTGCACCCCGGTTCAGCTGGAGATCCTGCGCCGGGCCGGGGCTATGCCCATCTCGTCTCGCCGCTGCGGCATGATCACAAAGCGCGAGGCAGAACGGCTCTGCAAGTCCTTTCTCGGAGAGCATAAGCCCCCCAAGCTGCCCGAAAACTTTGCCTTCGACGTGGTGCACGAGTGCGCCTGGGGCTCCCGAGGCAGCTTCATCCCTGCTCGCTATAACAGCTCTCGCGCCAAGTGCATCAAGTGTGGTTATTGCAGCATGTACTTCTCCCCCAACAAGTTCATCTTCCACTCTCACCGCACCCCAGAGGCCAAGTACACGCAGCCCGACGCGGCCAACTTCAACTCGTGGCGGCGCCACCTCAAGCTTAGCGACAAGACGGCCACGGACGAGCTGAGTCACGCGTGGGAGGACGTCAAGGCCATGTTCAATGGTGGGACCCGTAAGCGGACATTCTCCCTGCACGGCGGAGGAGGAGGAGGCAGTGGGGGCCCCGGGGGCCCCGGAAAAGGAGTGGCCGGTGGTGGAGGGGGCGGCCCAGGATGCGGAGGAGACCTTCCGCCTGGGCCACCGCCCCACAAAAGCCTTCGATGCGCTACCGATGATGATCCCACGGGGCCGCCTGGCCCACCGCCGCCCCCTCACCCGCAGCGGGGGTTGGGCCTGTCTGGAGGAGGTGGTGGAGGCCCTGGAGGCGGCAGTGGGGCCGGAGTCCGCAGCTACCCGGTGATCCCTGTGCCCAGTAAGGGCTTTGGCCTTCTACAGAAGCTGCCACCGCCTCTCTTCCCTCATCCCTACGGCTTCCCCACGGCTTTCGGCCTGTGCCCTAAGAAGGATGACCCAGTACTGGGCGGGGGTGATCCCAAGGGTGCTGGAGGGGCAGGTGCGGGTGGCGGTGCAGGAGGAGCCGGAGGCGGCGGAGGACATTTACCCCCAGGGGCTGGGGCTGGACCAGGCGGAGGTACTATGTTCTGGGGTCATCAGCCAGCTGGGGCAGCCAAAGACGCGGCTGCAGTGGCGGCAGCCGCCGCCGCCGCCACTGTCTATCCGACCTTTCCTATGTTCTGGCCCGCGGCAGGCAGCCTACCTGTGCCACCCTACCCAGCTCAGAGCCAAGCCAAGGCCGTGGCAGCGGCGGTTGCGGCCGCAGCGGCCGCAGCAGCAGCCGCGGCTGGGAACGGTGGAGCCGGAGGCCCAGGAGGTGCGGGAGGAACAGGAGGCCCAGGCGGAGGTCCAGTCCCCCCTGGAGGAGCCGAGCCCCTGGAGGTGGTGGGAGAACCGGTCAAGGAAGGTGGCTTAGGAGGTGAAGAGCGGTGCCCCAGCGCGCTGTCCCGCGGCCCTGGGGACGAGGACGGAGTAGAAGAACCTCTGCCCCCGTCTTTGGGTCCCCTTCCCCTGGCGCCACCCCAGGCCCCACCGCCCCACCAAGCCCGCAAGGGCAGCTACGTGTCGGCCTTTCGCCCCGTGGTGAAAGATGCAGAGAGTATAGCCAAGCTGTACGGCACCACCCGGGAGGCCTATGGGGCTGGGGCTGCGCGTGGCCCAGGGGGCAGCGGCGCTGGAGGCTACTTGAGCCCGGACTTCCTGAGCGAGGGCAGCTCTAG